GTGATTCTGCAGAGCTGGAAAGTAATGAGGTTTGCGGTTGTTTTCCTAAATCAGATCCTTTCCACCTATGCTATGATTCTTGCATCACTCTGCAGTAGGTTTCTAGGCTCTGAGACCTCAGAGTCAACTCTCACTCATATCTGAGCAGAGACCCCATCTGGATCTCAAGTGATGGAACTTGGTTTGGCCTCTAGAGCAGCCATACGTTCTCCATGTGGACAGAAGGGATCCCAGCTGAGGCTCCACTCACCCTGTGGGATATTGCTGATGGGAACAGTGATTCTACCCATCACATCCAGGGCTGGGGGCACTTTCTCAGAGTAACTAGCCTAATCTCCCTGAGCCCCGGTTTTCTCCTCTATAAGATGGTAGTAATAGTAATGCCTAACTCATAGGGTTGGTATTAATACAGCAATAAATGGGAAAAGTCCACTACAGTGCCTAACACCTCCTAATGGCTCAATGCATATGAACTCTTCCTGTTTGTTAATTCCCACCCCACAACACACAACCTAGTGCAGTCAGGCTTGTGATGTACGTAACTCAGGGTGAGTCCGGAGCTGGGCAGTGGTAAAGTTTGGGATGAGGATAAAGGTATGGGGTTAAATTCAACAATTTTAAATCGTGTTTGGGTTGTGACTGGTTTGGGGTTCTTGTGAGGGATGGATTTTGGGATTAGGATGACAGTTGGGAGAATTAGGATTAGGGATGGAGTTGTTGTTAAGGAAGTCTTTCTCTTAGGCGTAGAATGACTACATCTGACTACATCCCAGCATAAACTCGAGAGACAATGGGGCTCTGCAAGACCAGCTTCCTGATGGGGTGCCTGGCCTGCCTAGGCCTGGAGCTGTTCCCAGGATGACCTCCACCTGTTTGCTGAAGTGAGCAGTGCAGGAGGTTAAGGCCTTTTGTGGGGTGGCTTGGAGACTAAGGCTAAAGAGAATGTGGCACCTCCCAGAGTCTTGGTTTTTGCTTTTGGGCTAGTCCCATCCCTCCAACACTGTTATGCTCTGTCCTCCCACCTCCAGCCCTCTCCCACTCCTCACTACACCCCACATTCTCACCTGTGGCCCCTGCCCCCTGGCACATCTAACAGGGAGCAGGCAGGGAGAAACTGTGGCCTGGCCTCCACCTCCCCCCTCCCCAACCTTCTTCCAGCCTCCACCTCCTGGGGGAGGGGAGGACACAAAGGCCGGATCTTTCCACCAGCCCCATCCTCCTCCCTCTGGCCCCTCTCCCTCTCCCCTCCCTGGGCTGGCAGAGGCCAAAGAAAACAGAGCGCTTCCCCAGCCCACTCTCACTCTCCCTCACTTCCTGCTCCGGGAAGATGGTTTACTCCCTCCCCTCCCCTGGCTCAGGACCTGGCCTTGGTGTCAAGTTTCTCCAGAGCTTCCAGAATTAGAGGCCCTGCCTGAGCTCACTCTGGACCCCTCACCTCTCTCCATTTCACCTTTCCCGTGTCTTTTATCCCTTGACCCAGGCCCTGTAGTAAAATGTTGTTATTCAGGTGGCGGAAAAATCCCATGGAAGGAAGGCTCTCTAGCGGGTGGCAAGCATGTAGGATAGGAGGCGGGTGGAGGACAGTTAGCTGCTGTGCAGAAGGAAACTCTGTGGGTGGGTAAGAGCCACGTGAACACAGGGACCAAATACACTTCCTTCAGTTCTGCTCACCCCGTGGAAAAAGTGCCTCTTGCAGCCTAGTGTGAGTGGTGACCCTGGGACTGTGCAATGAGGTGGCCCTGGCCAGTGGTCAGCCCCAGAGGGTTAAGCAGCCCTCGGTCCATTTGTGCTCAACTCAGGAGACACGTCTCCCTCAGCACCTCTTGATTTCTGGATCCCTGCTCAGTACAGTTTCAAGTGTGGCTACCCTCCTCACATTGCTTCAGAGGATCCTCTGCCTGATTTCCTCTGCTCTGGGGAGAGCTTTGCCAAGGAGCCCCTCAGCTCCTGAGGGAATTGGGGGCGGGGTGAGAGGAGGTGTTCTGAAGTCCTGGACCTCTGACCTGCCCTCTCTCTTCATAAGCAGGTCTTGCTTCTGGCCCAGGCCATCCGTCCTCCTCTCTTTTTCACTTGCTCTCCCCACTTTCCCCACCCAGGAGCTGGGTCCCCTTGAAATTACTGCTCAGTTGGCTCAGAAACAGAAGTTCAACATCTGGGGTCTGGTGTCACAGTCCCTGGATTTGAATCCTTACAAGCTGGGAAACCTTGGGCAAGACACCGGACACCTTATTTTTTTTAAAATAGGCTTTTATTGATTTTTAGAGAGAGATTAGAAGGAAGAGGGATAGAGAGATAGAAATGTCGATGAGAGGGGAACATCATTGATCAGCTGCCTCCTGCATGCCCCCTACTGGGAATCGAGCTCGAAACCCCAGCATATGCTCTGACGGGGTATGGAACCATTCTATAACACAGAGCTGATGTGAGGATTAAACGAGATAATGGAGTATTGCACGTAAAGGAGTTGGTGTCATGCCTGGCATATAGTGTACATCTGACAGGTGACAGGTGTTATTATTATTACCATAGCTTGTGATCACTCCCCTGCACCTGAAGGCAGTTCCAGAGAGACTAGAGAAGGATGGTAGAAGAATGAGGGTGTGACTCGCCACAGGAACTGTGTTTCATCCTTCTAGAGTTCATCTAGGAAAGCCCTTTCTACTGTTATCTGAGTGGCTCTCTCTCCCCTTTCTCAAGTCTTTACTCAATAGCCACTTTCTCAGCGAGGCTTTCCCTGACCATCCTATCTGAATGGCAACCTGCCCCTCCCCCCACCAGCTCTATTTCCCATCCTTTAACTTGTTTTATTTTTTCTCCATAGCACTTTTTGTCATCTAACATTTCTAATATTTTACTTTACTTTTTTTGTTTTATTTGTCTCCTACTACCAGAATATAAGCTCCACAAAAAGAGGGACTTTTATCCATTTTATTGACTACTCTATCCCTCCTGCCTAAAAAGTCTCCACACACTGGGAGCTCAGTAAATATTTGTCGGATGGTGCTCATTCATGATTCATTTAGGAAACATATTTGGCTATCTCTAAAATGGACCCGATATGTTCCTGGTGAGCTGTAGCTGATGATTCCTGAAGGCTAATTCACAGACCAGCTACATCAGAATAATTCTGGGGCATGTATTAAATACACAGATCCTACTCCAAACCAAATGGATTAGAATCCCCCCAGGTGGATGTGCATTTTAACAAGGATGCAGGGTGATTTGATGTGCACCAAGATTAGAAACCACAGCTGGACAACCTGGAGAACAATAATGGTCAATAAGAGAATGGAGCATCACAAAGGAACACAGGGTGACCGGTCAGGAGGCCATTGTTATAATTTAACTCAGAAACAAAAATGACTTTGACTAGGGTTGAGGCCTTTGAGATAGAGAGAAGTGGATGGATTCAAGGGATTTTCAGAAACTAAAATCTAGAAGATGGATATCATGTGGCTGGCGAGGCATCAAGAATGACCTCTAGCCCTGACCAGTTTTGCCTGTGGACTGAAGAGTCCCGGGTTCGATTCCGGTCAAGGGCATGTACCTTGGTTGCGGGCATATCCCCAGTGGGGGGTGTGCAGGAGGCGGCTGATCGATGTTTCTCTCTTGTGGATGTTTCTAACTCTCTATCCCTCCCCCTTCCTCTCTGTAAAAAATCAATACAATATATATTAAAAAAAAAAGAATGACCTCTAGGTTCCAGGCTTGTCTCACTCTCCCCTTCTTCAAGAATACTCAGTTGCCACTTTTGATGGAGGTGCCATCATTCAGATGGGGCACCTTGGAAGAAGACCTAGTTTTTGGGGGGTAAGATTATGAGTTAGCCTTAGATATATTGAACATAAGGTACTTTTGGCATTCAGAGGGAAAATGGCAAATCAACAGTTATGTTCCAGGGCCAGGAGATTGCCAAAGCCAGTCATCTGAAAACATGATGCTCAGAATGGAAGTAGTCGACTTTCAGTGAAGCAAGAAAGCTGAGATCAAAGGAGTTGACCCGGACTACCTCAGCATGTTTACTTGTCATGTTAAAAAATACACAAACATATATAGAATCCACTGTGAGAAGCAAATAAAACAGAGGAAACGAAAATAAAATTACATGTGCCCTAAACTTAATTACGCTTAAAAAAAATAGAGCAGGAACTATGCAACTGTAAAATGCATGTGTAGCTCTTATTGAAAGATTTAAATCTTGCTGACACCAATAAGAAATGATGGGTTGTGATTCATCGGGAAGGTAATGTGATTTCTGCACATGGGCTCTGACCTTGGGCGGCCCAGGCAGAGCTTGGAGAGTGGTTCTAATTGAATCAACACCCGGCAGGGAGGGAGTTGGGAGGAGGATATCTGCTAGGACTGTGGAAAGAACAATCATACTGCGCTTTAAACAGAGGGGAAAATGGGGCAGTAGGCAAGAGGCGGTTCACATAGAAAAAGGGGTTTAGGAAGCAAGATGTGTCACGCTTCTCCAGCTTGGCCCAGGGCAAGGAAATAGAGGATGCGAAAGGCATGAGCAGCCTGATGACTAGAGGGTGCCTATTGTTTCAGGGCTGGAGTGGGGCAGGGATATGTCACTGATGTCTCCTGAACTAAAGGGGAACCATCACCTCCGCTGCCCTTTGCTCTGATTCTGGGCTCGCCAAGCAGCCTTCTGGTGAACAATTCAATTTAATAGTAATAGAGAACACTTTCTAAGCATTTTGAGAACAATAATAGAGAACATTCTTCTAAACCCTTTACATGCAATTTTCTTGATAACCCGTGATGTATGTTGCTGTTATTTTCCAGATATTACAGATGATAGAAGTGAGGCCCAGAGAAGTTAATTAAGTTGCCCAAGGTCACACAGTGAGAGAGCTGAAATTCAAACCTAGACTCTCAGGTCCTCAACTCTTAACCGGTTTTAGTTGGGGATTTAGTACTCTCTTCCCTGGTGAGGGAGTGGGCGGTCAATCCCATATTAATGTGATAAATTGAAACTCTTGTTTCCATAGACGCTCCTGCTAACCTGAGTCTGCTGCCGAGAGATCAGTAGAAGAACATCCCATGGTCCTGGAAGGCAGGGGCCAGAACTTGAACATGGTCTCTCGAGGTAAGTGCTGCTCTTGACTGTGCCTAGCACAAGTGGCACATGAGACTCTTACTGAGGGGCTAAAGTGGAGGCATTGCCTCCGGGACTCTGAGGGATCTCCAGGGACCTGCTAGCGGTCCCCGAACAAAAAAGATAACACTTTTTGACAATTTGTAGCAAATTTTCAATATTTAGAGATTTTTTTTCTTGCCAGTTACAAACTGGGACTGCCTAAATGAACAATTGTTAACCCAACTCCAAACTTGTCTTTAAAATGTAGTTATGGAAGAAAAAAAAATATATACTCCCAGATGTAAATTGAACCAAAGTGCACATAGAATGCAGAACAAGGCCAAGCTGTTCAGTGTAATCATTTTGGGGGAGAAAAGTTTCCAAAAGGCTTTTATCTCCCCACCAAAAGTTCCAAATGGGAGGAAAGTAGACGTTTATAAACTCTAAGTCTTGAGTGGCTGCAAATGTCTGCAATTTGGAGTCATTTTTGGAGGCTATATTTTTATATTGCCCTCTGGAATGATAACAAACTTATCTCAGTGTCTCCAAAATGCCATCTGAGCACGCAGATGACGCCCGAAGCCGTTAAACGCATCATCTTCCACCTAACGGGCTATTTGCTATTTTTATGTTATTATTTTTAAACTTTTGAAATAATTATCGATTCACAGGAAGTTGCAGAAAAATGTGCAAGAACTCATGTATCTTGCCTCCAGTTTCCCCCAGTGGTAACATCTTGGATATCGTTTTTAATTGAATAGAGAAAATTAAAAAGTGGCTTGGGCCCTTCTGTGACAAGCTTTCAGAAGACTGAATCTACACCTGAAAGATTACCTTGATTTAAACAAAGAGGGGAAACATATTTTTGCCTAATAAACTAGTTTGAAGACGTTTAAAATGTATTTGAAAAATGTACTTTTGTTTTAAACATGTAGCAATTGGTCCATAATCACAGGTAAGTGAACCCAAATTTTCACTTTCAGCCTCCTTGATGTCATCTACAATGTGTAATTTGAGCCCTTACCACAGCCCAGCCTCATCTCCAGCTTCTCTTCCATTGCTTTCAGCATCTCATTAGCAATTAAAAACGTCAGCCCCTGTGGTGGAAAGGTAGTTTTTTATAAAAAATGTCTGGAGCAACCATTAACATTTTAGTGATACTTTGGGGTCCTGTGAGTTCTCAGGCATTTTCAGCAATATAAGTACTTTAATTTATGGCAACTGAGAAGTAGAGAAATTCATGGCAAGGGAAATTACTAAGTCACATTTGTGTCTCCCATACTTTTGGGGAAAAAATGCCAAGCACTTGCCAGCTGAAAGGGTCTCCCCAGCCCTTCTTCTCCATGGGGGACATTTTAGGCAAAGCTTTTTGTTATCATGCTGCCTCATCAAAATTTTGCTGCTGTGATAGCTCAACGCTTTTTTGGAATTGTAATGGTTCTAAGAGATTCAGTGGGATGCTTGTAGAATTCACCCATATATTGGCTTCAAGTGACTTTTTTAGATATTATTTCTCTAGGACTTCAGGTAGAGCTGAAAATATCACACAAATTGATTGTGATGCTTTAACTTCAGAGAAGAGAAATCTTCACCATCCTTGTTTTAAAAAATCCACCAGTAATGAAACATGACCTTACTACTTTTTACAGTCTTTTGGAGAGCCTGACCTTTAGCCATCCAAAATCATGACATTAAAAACCTTTAGGTGATTGGAAACGAATCAAATGCCCAGAACAGGTAAATCGTGGCACAGTTTCCATAAAGAAATACTATACAGCAATGTGAATGAATGAACTGCATTTGGGTACATGGAGAAATATGGAAGACTCACAAGCATAATATTGAATGAACAAAGAGGCCAGACAGAAGAACACATACCATTTGATTCCATTTATATGAAGTTTTAAAATAGGTAAAACTAATCAGAGGTGTTGGAAGTCAGCCCTTGGAGGGTGGGGTGGGGTAATTACTCCAAGGGAACAGCAGAGGGGTTTCTGGGATGCTGGGAATGTTGGTTATGTGGGTGTGTTTGATTTGTGAAAATTCATCAAGCTATCTACTTAACAATTTTTGCACTTTCACTATGTAAATTATACTGCCATAAAACATTAGAAAAAAAGCCACTAAATGCAATGGGAATGGGAATATGAGAGAGCCTGGGTGGCTGGCAGGCATCCCAGCATCCTTCACTTCACAGACGTGATGGCGTCCCTTCAGTTCTGTCTCAGACGGTGGTGGATGGTGGGGAGGCGTGGCAGGCTCCATGGAGACAGCATGGATGGCCTCTAATTATACTTTTCCTTTTAGAATTTTTTTTTTTTTCCAAAAGAGGGACTTTAAATGATAGTTCATGGGAGGACCTCCTTGATGTCATCTACAATTGGAACACTTTTCTCACTGACAAATCTGTGTGATTAAACCCACACACACATCCCTAGCTCAGGAT